TCCCTACAATCAGCCTCGCAAGAGGCTCATTCAGAGCTGGCTCACTTGACTGCCGGTGCAGGAGCCTCCTGCTTTCCTGCCCCTTTGCCCCACTGCCTTCTCACTGCCTCTCTGGGCACCATGGAGGGCCCTGCGAGGGCTGGCAGTGCAGGTGGCCTCCTGTGCACTCCCAGAGCCAAAATCCTCAGTGACAAACACCTCTTCGGCAGTTTTGCACTCCACAGAAGTACATTCACTTTGGAGATAACAGCATCAGTGCTTCTGGAATGAGTGTGTGGTACAACTGACGCGTCAGGAGGGATTCCAGCCTTGTTCCTTTCTCTATAACATGGAATGAAAGCAAACTGAGAACTTCCTCTGTGCACTCAAGATGGATTTGACTCCAAACTTTAAGTGATACCTGACCAGGTTTCTTCGTAAGGTGTCTTCATGGCCACTAGGTAGCACAGGGATCATAGAAGCAAGTTCTTCAAGGGTTTCACAGTCAACTGCAAGAAAAAAAAAATAGTTTGAAAAATCCCAACAGTCCTAAGAAAGTCTGCAGGGGATTCCTTCCAATCCCTAGTACCTATGTGACTCTATGATTTCTTATATCCTGCCACATACACATCTATCCAGATGGCCAGGCTACCCACTGCAGATTTCTGGGGTCAGATTAGATCATGTGGGAAAATAGGTTTTATTTTGTTTTGCTTGTATTTTCTGTTCACACAAGCTGTGTAATACGCATCCAGGAAAGATTAGAAATCCTGAATAAAAGGCGGGCTTTTTATTCCAATTCATGTACATACCCACCTTTTCAAATCACATTTTTATTTTTTTAAAATATATATTTTTACAGTTACCGAATGTTATTGCCAGCTTGACTGTTGCCTTATGCTGTCGTATCTATGGTGCTCTCATTTGCTCTTGCTTGTGAGAAAGGGGCTTTTATATAATACATTTTATTGTATCATAATACATTAAGCTTGTAAGCCTAAAAACTCATGATGACTCGCTCTTCATTACTCATTCCTGAGTTCATATAAAATGCAATAGAAAAGCACCAATAAAAATTGACTACAGGATTATTAAAATCTTAAACCATAAATATATTTTTGCTGTAAAAATACATTCAGGTTTAAAATTGTCAGGAAGAAAGATGACATAGGATTTAGAAAGTTGGTGTGAATAGGTCAAACAGCGCAGACCTGAAACTGTAAAATACTGAATTGCTAGAAGAGCAGAAAAAGACAGAGTATGCAGGAGAGGATCTATATTTAACTGCATATATGATTAGATGTAGCAGGACTTAGATATAATTTGCAGTCAGATTTGCCTGAAGAAGGTTTTTTTTCACCTCCCTGCATAACTCAGAAATAGAAATCCTCTAAGTCACTCCAGTTCTTCACTCATATTTCTAATGAAAAAAAGGGTCATAAAATAACCCCAAATAAAGGGTTTTCCTATGCAAATTATTTTTTCTTGTAAGTCCAGAAAAACATGTCTTCATTGCATGGCACATTCAATTGCTGCTCTTAACTGGATCATAGATGCATGTCTTCCTATCAGTCTAGGCATTTCTACTCTGTGTATTTTGAAATTGTTTCTATCCTTACACCTGTACAGGGAATCTATTTATTCCTATCAGTCCTATTTATTCCTATTATTCCTATTTATTCCTATTTATACTCTATGTATTTTGAAATTATTTCTATCCTTACACCTGTACAGGGAATTTGTGCCATTCAGCTTGAGGCCTCATCCATGCTTATGGTTCCATGCGTTGCCAATTGCATCCTCCTTCAAAAGTAAGTCTCCTTTCTACCACCCCCAGCAGATCGAGGCTGTGGGAGCGTGCTAAGTTCCCTCCTCAGGACAGTTCTTGAGTTAAAATTTTAAAATAATTCAGAAGTTTTTTTTTAAAAAAAACTTTCCATGCTTCAAACAGCACCCCCCATCGGTATCTGTAGTGTGATTGCTTGGAAACTTGAGTCAACTAGAGTCTTTGCTGTCCTGTCATTACACAAGGGCTTTACATCTGCACAGTGTAAGCGATGAGCAAATAACAAAGCTAATAGCTTGCTCTGGCAACAATGTTTACACCTGTTTTGCACAAATCTGAAAGATTATACGAAGGCTGAAAGGTTAGGTAGTTTTACTGTCTGACCTTGAGCAAATATTCTGCTGTTCTCAGGTTTAGTTTTCTCATCCGTAAACCAAGACTGCTGTGATGCCTCGTTCAGAAGGGCAATCTAGGAATTTATCATCAGCGCGAAGCAATTTAAAGCTCTCGGATTAAAGTTGCCTCATAAACGCCAGAAATAATTATCGGTCAATACCAGAAAATGCAGCGTTGAATGGTCAATAGCCAATGTGTGAAATGTTTTCCATATTGACCACAGAGGTTTTAGCCAGTACTACTTAATAGGCATGCAATAAGGACAGATCGATAATATTGGCAAATCATTGCATGCACAGCAAAATGCTTTTAGATTTTGGTCTAATAAAAGGAAAACACATTTCACCAATATCGTGAACTCACAGAATTTCTTCCCTTTGCTTTGCTTTGCATTAATCAGGTGAGAAAGGACACCTTCCAATTCTCAAGTAAGCCAAAAACAGCTTAACTGGGAAATAAGAAGCACAAAGCTTTATGTTTCCTCTTTCTGCAGCATGATTTTCACTTTCTCTGAATTAACTATTAGGAAAAAAAGTAACTTTGACACAGAAAAGACATACTTACAGAATGCACACCCAGGCACAAAATTCCAGTACTAAGGATGATAGCGCAGCTCTTTTAGCGCTTACCTCCCACTAAATTGTGAGAACTGCCAGTGAAATAAAAACACTGGTGCTCTGCTTGCACTGTATTTGACATATATAATGTCATAGCAGTATGTTTGTTACCTTTTAGCAGTTACCTTTTAAACAATTAAAAGTGCAATTAAACAATGTTTACCTTTGCAACTGAATAATGTAATTAAAGCTAAGTGTTTACACTCAAAGGCAAAAACTTAAAATAACACCATTGAAATGTCTTAATATAAAAGCAGGTGCTGAGGCAAAAAGAACAAACCAAAACAAAGTGAAGAAGCCAAACCCTGACCCTACAAGAATGAATATATTAATGGAAAGGTGTTTGTTCTTCATTTTTCCTACCTAATTTTCATTAATCCTATTTTTATTGAAAACTTGTGGGACAGGTTTTCCAGCATACTGAGGCCTCTGAATTTTTCCTTTGCATGGTCATCTATAAAATAAACTTCTCTGGTGGTGGAGCTGTGAGGAAGCCCTATTGTGTTCCTCTTCTGGGGAGGTGTTTGCAGAGGGGTTATGGTCAGAACGAGCAGCTGAATACAGGAGAAATGAAATGCTGCTGGGGTGGAGTCCTCAGAAACCCCATGGTCCTGCTGCTTACATCGTTGCTGTTCACCATCTACACTGCATTTTCTGAGCAAGTTACTGTTGGAGCTTTGTGTTTCTATGCTGGGAATTACTTCTGTCCCAAACTTCTGGACGTATACACTGAGGTGAATATATAAAATGTGTAGCTCTGCTTGGGTTTAGCCAAGCCTATGCTCACTCACCACACTCACTTCTACTGAGAGCACCCAGTTCACACCCAGGTTTGGCCTATTCGGGACACTGAAAGCCTGTGGGAACATCCACCCTCAGGTGGCCTCTCTCTTAGCATGTTCTTGGTTCTGGGTCTTGACACCGCTTACAGGATATGTTTCTGCAGAGGATTCCCGAGGGAACCAGTTATCCCGGCTGCGAGGTGGCAGCAGCTGCCAGCGAGCCTGGCTGGGGGCAGGAGCAAGTTGGCTGCGTGGCTGCGGTGCCCGGCTGCGAGTCTTCAAATTTCCACGTGCTTTGCTGGCCTGGGATTGCTGTGCAGAGAGGAGAGTGAGATGCGGTGTCTTTATTTACACTGTCCTTTACTGCTCCTCAAACACTACCACGTATCTTGCCAAGCACTTTTAGGTACCACAGAATATCACTGACATCCCTACAGGTTACAGTAACAGGTTACAGTAAATTGTGGAAAACTGGCTGGAATATTTAGTACCGTCAGGTGGGTGCTCCCTTAGCACTGTGCGTGGTACAGCCAGTGGTACCTTTCACGGGAAGCCTCCCTCCCTGCTGCTCCTGAGGAAATCTGCCAGGGGGGCAATTCCCTGGAGGGGAGAACAAGCTGTAATTTTGTCCCCTGGCTCTGCAGACTTTGAGGGGTGGCTTCCCTTTATCAGATTCATATATCATTTAATGACTGCCAAAATCCTGACTGAATAGAATAACCCACGCAAGTTAGCTTTAAAGTAGAAAAAAAAAAAAAAGTAAGAAAAGTACACAACACCTCTGCCCCCCAGCCCCAAATATTGAGAGCCCCTTGGACTAAAAATGGCCAATGAGAACTGGAAAACAAAATGTTTATTGCACAACAAATTTTTATTTTTTATAAAGATAAATAAACTGGAGGGAAGGAAGTCACATGTTAGGGTGTTTGGGAATCACTAAAGACACCAAAATGTGTAGGAGTTACATAGCCCGCAAGATCAGGTGTAGGAGCTGAAATGGTGGCACCGTTTTTAGAATCAACGCATGAGAACTGAGCTGTCACATTGAAGCTGACAGCGCTGATATGCAGCTCTAATCTGCTGTGCAAAGACCTGGGTGAGGAGAGGATGAGAACCTATAGATGCGCTACCCTATACTGCCTTCCTGAGCTTGCTAGATCAGAAATCCTGTGTGAGCAGAAACAGGGCAAAATATGGGGAACATAGAAGCTGCTGGTCTCCCTTTATCTGCTCATGCAGCCCACTCAAAACACCATGGATGATTCCTACCACTCAGTGGAACAGCTT